ATATATATATATATATATATATATATATACCTGGTTGCCCCTACCCCAGTGTTTCAAGTTTAAATGGCAAACCTTAAGAGAATCCAGTGACCCTTTTGTAACCTACCACAAAGTATTTGTTAACCCTTAGTGAATATTTATGCATGTGACTTGCCTAATTGACTCCTCTCTGTGCCACTAGAAGTGGGAAGGTAATAAAGAAACTCTAATGCAAATGTCTGAAGTGATATCCTGAGTCCCCAGTAGATTGAATATATTTGAGAACCTCAGTAGGTTTATCAGTTCCACCCCTAGGACAAATTGAAATAATTTTTTTTTTTTTTTTTTTGCTCAGGGTGGAGTAAGTAGAAAGATTTTGAAGCCTTTTGACTGACAACAGATCAATTTTGAATTGTCAGCCTTCTGGGGAGCTGGCTTCGATAGTGAGACCAGTGAAAGATCAAGTGCCACATTATTTTAGGGCTTAGCTCAAGAAAATTAGAACTTCCCCAAGCTTTGAAACAGCCTCATTAACAAGTTAGTGACAACTCATAAGCTAAGTTTATCAGAGATATAACAAAGGAGAAAGCAAAGTTGATTTAACTGAGTATATGGTGGGAGGGGGCCAACTCTCGGGCTGTGATCTGAAATCTTTCAGACTTCATGGGCAGCTTCCATTACTGTCATTCCAAAATCCCAGGGACCCAAACCTTTGAGGTACTACTGTGTGACAGGATTTTGCTTGATACCAAGAAGCAGAAATAAATGCATCAGTAGAGTCTATTTTTGAGAAACATAGTAATTTAATGAGAAGACAGGTCCATAAACAACTATGTTCAGTAAGGAGTCAGCGCAGTTCTGGAGTTGATGAAGTCGGTACCAACTCTGACTGGGAGGATGGTGTCTTTTGGAGGTAGACAGGGTAAGTAGATAAGGCCAGAGCAGATGACTGTTAACAAAGAGATTTCAACATGCTGAAACTCAAACAAGAAAGAAGTTTATTTTCCCCTCACAGAACAGTCCAGAAAAGACAGAAGGCTCTATTTCAGAAACTCACCCAAAGACTCAGGCTAACGGGTGGCACTCTCTTCTGGGGAAGGACCAGAAAACTTACAAAGTCAGATAGTAGATATTTTAACTCTGTAGGACTTAACGTTTCTGTTGTGACTGCCCAATAAACTTAGATAACATGTTGTGGGAAGGGTTTCATTTTCTTCTAAAAATACTATTTATACAAACTGGTGGTGGATCACATTTGTTCCACCAACAGTAGTTTTCTGAACTTTTCCCTAGGTCATTACCCTGTCCTTTGAGGTCAGAGCCAGATCATTAAAGCCTCTATGTACTAGACAAGAAGGGCAAAAGGCAGAAGTCCAGGGCAAGGGATTTTTCTTTTCAACACATTGTGCAGATCATACAGTCATTTCCACTCACAGTTTACTGGTGAAAGTTAGTCACATGGCCCCCCCTTGATGTAGGGCAAGCTGGGAAATGTACTTTCTAGCTGACCCACCGCAAAACCAGGAAGAAGGGGACAGCAGATATGAGAGGACGGCCAGCTCTTGTACCTCTTGGTTTTGAGTACTTCACTGACACCAAAGTTCACTGAAGTTTATACTGGAGGAACTGTAAATTTGGATTAGCAGTTCAAATCCCTATAATCTTATGGGATTCAAACTGTAGAACTTGCCCCATTATTGAATCAGTACATCAGTTCAGGGGGCTGTAATCAGTTACTTTTTTTATATGAAAAAATATAGAGAAGAGCAGAGTAGAATTTAATAAAGATTGGAGAATAAAATACCAGAACATTTTGCACACAATAAAGGCAAATATTATGACTAATTTCAGTCTATAGTATAGTCTGTTGTAAAGTAAAATGTATTTAGGTGACAGTCAAAATATTTGAAAAATAGTGTTGTAATTCAGTTTTCCCCATCTGTAATTAAAGTTTTCCTTTCTTTCTGGGTTAATTTTTCTTTTTAATTTTCACTGAACCTTGACTGGACCCTCTTCTACGAACATCTAAGTTCTTGACTCTACCTTAGGTTCACTGAAAGATTGCCCATGAGGTTAGGGAAAGATGGGGAGGATCCAGAAAGGAAACATGTGGGCTGTTTCCTGGTCTTGGCTTCTGGAATGCCCCTGATAATGCAAGCTGTAAACTTGGTGAGGGCTGGGAAAGCTAGCCCCCAGTATCCTGAATACAGCAGGAACCAAGTAGGGAGAGGCCATGTGCAGGTTTATGGGCCACTGTCCATTGGGGAGCACTCACAACACTGGCACCTCTGTTCGTGTGAGTTAGACTCATGAAGGCCAGAAGGAAGCCCTCAGAGATACAGTGCACTAGCTCGCCAAGGCGGTAGTGGGGAAACTGAAAGAGAGGAGGCAGTGTGATGTGCAGAGCAGTGGGCGGGCCTGGGAGTGGTAATCTGACAATAGGCCTGATTACAGAGTTTAGACAGTTTTCTGGAAGGTGGGGGGTGGGGGGAGTAGAATATCATAGCTGGAGGGTATGGGAGTGAAAATGTATGCAGCAGAATTGAAGAAGTGAGGTGAGAGTATTTCTTGTAGAGGAAGAAATGAGCTTGAACATAAAATCAAGACTGTGAAGAATATTGTCGTGGGAGGGCTGACTGGTCTCCTAGGACTGCTGTAACCAAGTACCATACACTGGGAGGAAAGAAGCAATCTTACTCTCTCCTAGTTCTGGAGGCTAAAAGTAGGGAATTACGAGGGGCTGTGCTCCTCTTGGATTACTTGTTGCACGTCCTTCTCTTAGCTGCATTAGGCGTGATCCTGAGGGTTCCCTGACTTGTAGAGGCACCACCCCAGAGTCCCCTCCATCATCACCTGGTGTTGCCCCCTGTGTCTATGTCTCCTTAGCTGTTTTATTGGGTTAGGGGGTCCCTTGATTTGATCGGATTGAGTATGTTAGAACTTGAACACATCTTTTGGGATGACACAAGTCAACTCACAGCCAGCACTTAGAATGGCTCTGAACCCCCATCTAGTTATTAATGTAAGCAACCTCCAGGGAAGCTCTGTCTCACAAAAGCAACCTGACTGTTAGAGTATGTGGATACCTCGCTGGGGCAGTGGAGGGAACAGGGCAAGGGCAACCTCCTCATAGGGGCGGATTCCGTAGTGGATGAGAGCCTGGTTGGGCCATTCCAGTTGGCCTGGCCACAGATGCAAGACGTTTTTTTTAAAAAGGATTTATTTATTTATGCATAAGCCAGAGGTGTAGGGGGTGAGAGAATTCACCAGAGACAGTAGGGAGGAGAACAGAACAGGTGAATCTATGAAAACACACTGCTGAGGGGAACAACAGGTGAGACAGAAGGGACCTGCTGTGCCATGTGTCTTAGTTCCCTGTCTGGGGGGTCGAATTCATGTCACAGTGGCTGGTGATCACTTGATAATGCTGTGTCTTTGACCCCTGTGCCACCAGGGAGCCCCCTTGATGCATGACATATTGAGCTGTCTTTTTGTCAAAAAGTACTACCCAGAGATGAAGAGGCAGGCATTGTCTTCTCAGTTCCTTGGGATGTGCATTATCCCATTTGACCTTATATATAGAAGAAAAGAGATCACTTCCAGCATATTGTATCATATCATTACAAGACTGGACAAAATAATTAATGACCATCTGGGTATTGTTACCATCTTCACAATCATTAGATATAGTGCAAGAGGCACAGTCATTAGTGGCATGACAAGCAGAAGGCAAAAAGTGTATTATTTGTAGAGGTTTGTGGTCAGCACCATATGTATTTTAGATTAACTTCAGAAATACCCTTAATTTGGGGAAAAACACTTCCCTATGGTTTAAGAAAAAAACTTATTTTCTTTATTTTTTTTGCTTCCTGCCAATTGATGATGTCTTCTCAATCAACATATAAAATTCATTTAAAAAAAGTGTTAGGTAATGTTGAACCCTTTAGATAAAAATAAGAAAATACTGTACATGAGACTTCAAAACCTAGAGAAAATAGTACACAGAAGAAAAAGAGTCATAGTCTCATATCATGGCTAGACCACTTTTTTAGAGAAACAAGGAACAGTGGAGCTGAAAGGAATCTTACTGATTTGAGAGAAAATCAGAGAGATTGTCCATTGACAGCTCTCTTTAAAATTCCTTGGTTCAGGGCCTGTTTGGTGGTGCGGGGGTTAGTCTGAGCGCTATGAAGCTATTGCCAACCACTCCAGCATGAGTTCAATCCTTGGCCAAGGAGCTGACCCACATGGTGTGGCAGACCTCTCCTGTCCTGCCTGCTGTTCCCTTCAGCAGTGTACTTAGACACTGTCATTGAGACAATGATCTGTCTGTTGTATTCCCCACTCTGTCTCTGGTGAGTCTGCTCACTGCCCCCTCGCCCCATGCTTTTGGCCTACACCCTGGCTCTTGTATGCATAACTGAATAAATCGGAATAAATATTTTTTTAAAATAAAGATTTATTTATTTGTGCATACAGAACTGAGGTACAGGCCAGAGGTGCAGGGCAGAGTGGGGAGCAGAAAAGGCAGATCGAAGAAGTACACTACAGCAGGCGGGTCAGGAGAGGTCTGCCGCACCATGTGGGTTACCTCTGGGGCCGGGGATTGAACTCGCACTGAGGCTGCGGCCAACTTGCAGTGCCCCATCCTAAGCCGTTGTGCCACCAGGGAGGGCCCATAAAAAAAAAAATCTTTAAAAAAGAATCCTTGTTTTATTTTTATCTCTCATATAAGGTGATAGGCTTTAGATGTCTTTCAGTTTTTAAGAAGATACTAAGTATTTCAGGATCTATCAAAGATCAGATGTCCTGTAATTGGAGAGAAATTCTCCCTCACAGATTTTTGTTTTTCCTTATAGATGCCTATCCTTGAAACCATGTAGACCTAGAATATTTTTCACTCTTAAAACTGATGGTGGTAGCTCTACCATGCCACAAAATGGCTGGCTACCACAGCTTTAGCACCACTTTTTCTCAGGTGGAAACACTTTTAGAGAGAAGTGGTGCGTGACATTCAGTAGCACCGTAATGTTCTGCACAGCAAATATAAACTTCTTTCTTTTTGTGGTTTACCCTAAGAGTGATGTAAGGGTTCTTTGTCTTTCTGACCCCACCTTGACATCTCAGTATAAATTACAGAATAGCTTCTCCTTGAATATTGAAATTAGAAAGGCCAGCGGCTCTTAGACGTTTTTGACTCTGAGGACAGTGAGGAATGCGTTTTGCAATATGATTTCTTTCTCTTATGTATGTCTCTCTTCCCCAATCAAAAGTTCCACATAGTTCACCATGTGTGATGCATTTTGACATGGACTTTTATTTCATTAAATACAACAACAATAACTTGTCTTGGTCAAACCTGCAGACTGAGAATTGTGTGTAAAGGTATATCCAGTTTCAGTTGTTTAACAGTTCAGATCAGTGGACCAGGAAATATTGCTTCTTTATTTTAGATATATTGACCTTGGTATTTTCTATAGTGTCAGGTGTTTAACCGTAAGGGTTATAGTCTTGGTCCAGGCTTCACTGACATTGAACCCTCTGGATCCACATGATATTACCCAGGTCTAGGTAACACCCCTACCTCTTGTACACCCCTGAAACTCCTGGCTATGCTTTCTGTAATCAACAGATGTTCATTATGCTAAAAATAATTTGTCTCGTCTCTTTTAGGTGTCTTATAGAACCCGGAACACTGGGATCTTGAGGATTGTGGCTATGATGGTGGGAGTCTGGATGCTGGCCTTCTTAGTGTATGGACCAGTAATCCTCGTTTCAGATTCTTGGAAGAATGGAAAGAAGGATTGCAAGCCTGGATTCCTTTCAGTGTGGTATATCCTGGTGATCATGTCGTTCTTGGAATTCCTGGTCCCAGTTTTCTCAGTGGCTTATTTCAACATGTACATTTATCGCAGCCTATGGAAGCGTGGTAGTCTCAGCAGGGAACAGAGATCTCCCAGACTCACTTCTGTCTCTTCCAGTAACTGTGGAAACTCATTGAATTTGTCAAAAGTGGCAATCCCGGAACCGAGGGATGCAGAAAAGTCCCGCCATTCTGAGAGACAAGGCAGACAGAACAGCTTCTTGTCTTCTTTGAGCAGCCAGATGAACAGGAGTGCGGTTGCTTCCAAAATGAATACCCTCCGCCACTCGGATTCTGTAGCTCTTCATCAGCGGGAACATCTCGAGCTGCTTAAAGCCAGGAAATTAGCCAGGTCTCTAGCCATTCTCTTGGGTGTTTTTACCCTTTGCTGGGCTCCCTATTCTCTAGTCACAATTATTTGTTCAGTTAGCCGTCCGGATCATCAGTGTCCTCAATCCATCGGATATGATATCACATTTTGGCTTCAGTGGCTCAATTCCTTTGTCAATCCTTTCTTGTACCCGTTGTGTCACAAGCACTTTCAGAGGGCTTTCTTGAAAATTTTTTGCATGAAAAAGCCACCTGTACCATCGCATAGTCTGTCATTGTCTTCGTAAAGAAAAGTTGCTTGCTTTTTTTTTTTAGTCTCTCACGTAAGTGAATTTGAGATGGCTTTCATCTTTCCCTCCCAGGCTAAGAAAGTCCATAAAATCACCCGAAAACTTCAAAATATCAGAATCTGGAAGACAGTGGAAAATGATGCCAGTGAATAATAACAGGGCAATTAGAAGTGCACAATGATATTTTGTGAACTGATAAACACAGACACACTGTTGTTTTTTTTTTTTTTTAGGTCATTACCTCTTCCTTGTCTTTTAGATCTTGATAAAATCTTAGTTGTGAAAGTGAGACATTTTGTTTCTTTGGCCAGTGTTTGCTACCGTCTTAAATGGATTTCCTCTTTTATTCTACAGTGATGAAACTGGTCAAGTTTTAAAGTCACTTCTTGTAGTCATGATAGAAAAAAGAGCTATACTACCCTCCTTGCTGGGGTGGGCAACTCTTATGATCGATCAGTGGGCAGGATAGAGGGGGTTTGCATTGGCAGGAACAGGGAGTGAGAGTGCCCGGGGAATGGGAGAGGAGGGCACATGAACTACCAGGCTTGATATTCCTGACCTTGGGAGAGAAGGAAGGGTGGGGAAGAAGGAGTGTTCAGGTAAGCACATGTCTCAGAGGTCCTCGGTGAAGTCATCCTGGAGCCCAACATCTGTGTTTGGAGGGTGAGGAACAGGACGGGGTCACCAGTGAGTTGAAAAGATGACTTTCCCTATTCTTTCCAGCTTCCTTCTTCTAATTTCCATACTAGCTAAAGTTTCTTTGTGAGAAAATATGGAAGAAACAGAAAAATTTAGAAATGGCAAGTGGACTACTTGATTAAACCTGGTGGACCTGGTATACTAGTAACACAACTAGGCATTCTTTACTATTAATAAATCTTGCTCTATTTATTTGAGTAAGAAATTTGTCTGATTGTTGATAGTAGAGTGCTCAGACTCATTCCCTAAGAAGGCTGTCCGCACTATTATACCTTATGGGTGAGTCCGATTTTATTAATCTGGTGATGTTTTGTTCTTTTTGTCATGTTAATTGATTTTTCTCTCCAGTCTTCTTTTCATGTCTTTGTCATAATATTTTATTTTGGTTTCATATTTAATTTCATCTTTCCTAAAAGGGTTAATTCAATGTTTCTTCTGTAACTTTTTAGACAATTTAGTCATTTTCATACTTCCTAGATCTTTTAAATCCTTGGTTAATTTCAGACATTAAAACAGGAAAGTCTTGGGCCCTCCCTGTTGGCACAACAGGCTAAAAACACAGCACTATGAAGCTCTCCACAGCCACTGCAGTACAAGTTTGATCCCCAGCCAAGGAGGTGACCCACATGGCATGACAGATGTCTCCTGACCTGCCCGCTGCGCCCCTCAGTAGTGTATTTCAGTAGATCTGCCTGTTATGCTCCCCACTCTGTCTCAGGTGAATCCCCTCACCCTCTGCATCTCTGACATGTATCCTAGTTCTTGCATGCATAAATAAATCAACCTAAAAAAAAATTAAAAAGTCTTTTAAGTACATAAATGCTTAGAAATGCATATAAACATATATATCCTGCTGACTTACATTAAGTTCAAGAGAAGAGATAATGTTCAATATTAATTTGAACATTTTGAGAAATATAACTAGAAATGAATTATGTTCTTATAAAGTTGTTACTTGTAGGCTGTTGGATTTAACCTTTATATAACAGTAGCTGTGGATTTCATATGGTCGCTGGATACCTGAATGTTCATTGAATGGAGGAGCCCAGTGAAAGCTTTTTGCACTTAACCTTAGGAGAAACATGACTAAACATTCATGTGTACTTTTCAAAATACAGAAAAAATAATTCATATTGTATTTCATTCACTCTCAGTTGCATTATTTTATTTACCACATTGCTAGAAAGTTCCATTTTGATTTCAGAGTTGTTGAAAAATGATCAATGTGTGTCTTAGAAGTGATGAATACATGCATATGTGATAAATGAATAAAGAGGGCTACTCCTCAATGAAATGACACTTTGAATACATACATATTTTAGATAGTGCACTCATGTCATAAATAATGCTAAATGAACAATCTATCACATATAAGCTACTTATTGTAAAGATGTCTGTGAACTTTGCCAATGAAATTTAGATTCTCTGTGGCAAGAATTTTACACTAAAATTCCTATACTTGAAAAGCAGTCATAATTAGTACACTGATATATATGTTTCTAGAGGAAAACATGATATAGTCCCATTTTCTGGAAACACATGTTTGTATATCTTAACTTTTCCCTAAACTTCTGAAGATAACTTCTGCTGAATTCTTTCCTAAAATGGAGGATCCTTTCTACCACCCCTGCTCCATCTAGAGCTCATTTATGAGAATTTATTAAATTTTAAATGAAAGTATTGAATATTAAGCGAAGTATTTTAAAATATGTATTTAAATTAAAAAACATACTTATTAGCTCATCTTAAAACCAGACTGAGCTTCACTCACAAAACATTGCTAATGATCCTGGGTCCTAAGTATTGGCGTTGTTGGGCTGTAGAGGAACAGACTCCAGAGGAGGGAGGCAGAGGTAAGTAAGCACAGGCTGTCAGTGAGGAATGACATTCAGGTCTTGTTATCAGTCTCAGGGCTTTAAATATAAATCAACGACCATAAGAACTATTTTGCAGAACTGGTTTTTGGACACTACCCAGCTGAAACCAGGCTCTTGACACTTAAGGAACTATTTCTCATGTTGTGATTCCAGAAAAAGAGAAATTCTAGCATATGAAGTAAATTTTTTGTTCTAATCATTAGCTATTTGGGTTGACTCAAGCAACAGAAAACATACTAATGATTTCAAGTCAAAGGAATTTAACCAACACAGGGTTTTGGAAGACGAAAAGAACAAGAACGGGATGTTAACATAACTCAGAGATGAATAACTTAAGACAGTTAAGACAGTTGCCCTCATAAAGGCTAGAGAGAATAAAAGAGATGTGATGTTATCAAAATCTTGGATCTTGAAAGTCCCTGGAGGGCTGATGCTTGGAGCTCTGATGTGTGCTGCCTAAAGGTTAGGGCTTGGACAGCCAAGGGTGGGGCCAGACTAGCTTGGGGGTGTGGGGTGGGGCAGTGGAGCCGCTGCTGCTACCTCTGACGGGGTACAGAGGCTTGCTTTCCGGTCTTGCCAGCGCCTTCCCTTGGCAAGGGAGTCTAGAGAATGCATGACTCCCAGCCTATAGCACAGTGGATAAAAGGTAGGCTTGGAGCTGACAGACAACTGGCAGAGACAAATCAGTGTTTGGGGATTTCACATTAACAGTGTCAACAATTTATAGGCAGCCCCTAGTCCATAACATTTTAATTAGTAATTTTCTTAAGACACACATTCCAGTTTGTATCCTTAGACTGTATGCTAAGTGACTTGGCTGTTTAACCCAGCAACTGGTTCCAAGAAAGTTTTCTCAGCCTCTATTCTTGTCATATGGACTGCAGTGCTAATGATGGCCAATTCTGTACTGGCAGTGAGGGAGGAAGGAAGAAAGCCTGGAAGTGTGGGACTCAGCCCCCTCCCTGATGAGTTCACTATACACTTAGTGACAGAGATTCTGAGCTAGCGGTTCATAGCGGTATCTGGTCTGTAAAATGAGTTGACTTATTGTTATTACCTATTAATTGTGGAATTTTACTTAAAATTAATATTTTTTTTAGTTTGTTGAAAAATTGGAAGATCCGGAACATGGGAGTTCCAGACCCTTTTGAAAACAATTTGCTAACTCTGGGTGGTGGCTACCTCTTTCCCTCCTTTAGTCCCTTTCATTTACTTGTCCATCCCTTTAACATCTCAAGTCTTGCTCTATATTTAAAAAGAAGAAATGATTCTCAAAGATAGTTTAGTGAGTAGGCCAGAAAGCATTAGCATTGCCTTTAAGTCCTGGGTCTTTTCCAAGTAGGATTACAATGTTCCAAGAGACAGGAACAACTTGAATGACCCAGCTAAAGAAGAGTATCAGTTCCCTCTACCCAAATGTATAAAAGTTGTGGTAGGGTGCTGTCAGGGTGACAAACTAGAGACAGCATGACAGCCCTGTTGTGTATTATGGCTTCTTCCCAAGGCTGGGATGATGGATACTCATGTCTTTTTAACTGGAAAGGAAATGGGCCTTTACTAGTAACTTTTGGGAAAAAATTCTCCCAAAGGTAAACTGCGTGCTTGGGTAGCTTGTGTGGCTAGCTTAGGAGTGGTCTCTTCAGGAGAGGGTGGGTATTGGGTACCAGCTCTACCCCCTTAGGTCAGTTCCCCCCTCAGACTAACCTCTGTGGTAGGCAGAGAGGCTCAGCCCCTTTCAAATGATGTAATCTGAAGAGAGAGGAACAATTTCTTCAAATGAAGAGAGCAGAAGGGAGAAGAGGTTATAAATGTCTAGTCCTAGACATTCCTAGGGTGTAAAATAGTGGGCACTTCATGAAGATCTGATCATCTTCGTCATCTATTATGAAAGGCTGCCCACGTCTCTACCCCTTGCTGGGTCTCCATCTTTGGCAATAAGACTTTGTAGCTCTTCCCATCAAGAGGGATTTGCTTTGGCCAATGAGCTGCTGCCAATGGGCAGTTCAATGAGACCATGTCAGTGTCAAGCCTAGGCTGCCAGTGACCTGTGCTCATTGTTCTGTCTCTTAGAACTGTGCCCAACTGCCTGACGAATGCATCGCTCCTGGCCTGTGAAAATGAGGAGCCCCCTGGAGCAGAATCTGGCTGCTCCAGCAGAGCCCATTTTAGAGCGGCCAGGAGCTGACTGGCAATGCTACTGCAAATGCAGGCTAAACAAGGCCAGCTGAAACAAAGCTTAGCTTGGCTGAGGCCAGAAGGACCCTCAGCTGGTTCAGGGATTCCTGAGCAATGACAAGATCCTGCATTTATACTCAGCAACAGTTGTGTGGCTAGTGGCCGTCCTACTCTTGTGGGAAACATAGCCGTAACAGTTGAGCACCAGAGAGAAGTTCCTTCACTCCGTTTTTGGTAGCTGACACA